ACTATTACTAAGGCAGGTCTAATGTACACAATATTGGATCTTCATGTAGTATGAACAATGGGTATACAAAAGGAGTCAGACTAGAACGAGGATTTTTTAAGTATTTTAAGTCAGAGTTGTTAGAGAATGGTGTCCTCACAGATAATCCTATAAATATGTAAATGTGAATCGGAAAACTATTTTTTGTAAAACATGTTAAAAGCATTGTTAGCGTAAATCATATTATACCTCATTAACAACATAGACATAGATATACATATACATATAATACAGCGAAGTTTTGTGAACTTAATGGATTAAAAAAAGTTTGAATTAAAATCCCAGTATTACCAGTTTTGTTTAATATTAAATATTTCATATTGAGTAAAAATATTAAATATTTGCCGGTGGCAGGGATGGCAAAATTGGTACGATGGTACTTTTTTTGATACTATTTGATGTTCAAAAGTACCGTTGTACTCCCGAGTCTTATTTGATACTCTCACGGCCACAATCACAATATCCGATTATCGTTTAACAGATAGATAAAGAATTTTTTTTAAAAACCTTTAATATATCGTTTCGATAAAAAATAACAGGTTAAAGTATATTTAAAATTTTAAATTCCAAGAGTGTTTTACACTCTAAAAAATGCATGTAAAATTACTATTACAAAGTATGTAAGTTTTTTGCGAAAATTACAGAAGATGCGTAAGTTTAAGCATAAAATGTTTATAAGAATTAATTACAACATTATGCCTGCAAAAATACAAATAAAATGTAGTATTTTGGTTATTCATAAACATGTATCCAATAAAATAAACATTTCAACTTTATAATTACACATGTTGTGTTTAAATTTTATATTTTAGCCCCAATGTGTGTAATTTTAATTTAGACGAGTAATATTGAAATGTCAAGCAATTTTTAAAAAAATAAAATATTTCAACAAATAAAACATTTTCAATAAGATTATGTTAAGAAGCAATAGAAAAAATAATACAAATAGCAAAAATATTCAAAAAATTGTATTAATTTGGTCCACTTAAATCGACAATGAACTAGTCCAAGACATCGCTCAAACAAATGCTGCATTATGCTGTTGTCAAGTTTGAATGAAGAAGGATATTTGAATAAAAATCCAATTAATGTGCGTGCTCCGTGGCTACATTTGGTTCCCATTGGTTTCTTCCAATAGAACATTAAATTATGAATATGTAATCCATCCACAAATATGCGAATATTCAAGATTCCTCAATATTTACTATATAAAGATAAAATTTACATAAAAATCCATTTAAATACAAAAGTGCATCAAGTAAATGAGATCTAAAGATAATTCTTTTGTAATTTTAAAATTAAAGCATTCTTTCAAAATAATTTTAATGTGTTTTAATCTTTTGAATAGAAAGTGGTACATTAAAGGTTTAGATTTCTATGTACAATTAAACATTTCAATATTAAACTTACATGTAAAAATGTTTTATTTAAACACAAAAAATTTAAATTTAGACGATTTTGGAATGTTGCTAAACATTTTTATAAATACAAAAGGGTAAAAACACACATTTTGTATCAAAGGATTTTACATACAATGTGTTTAAAAATTTTGAATATTTTTGAACATGTATTTTTACACTAATTATACTAGGAGTCTGGTTACCTACAATAAATAGTGTAAATTTAAACAAAAATTTATAAGAGTGTAGCACATTGTTATATAAATTCTCAAAAATGCATCAACTAAAAGCCGTTTTTTTTTTAAATAATAATAAAATTATAAACGGCTAATAAAGTTGTACATATTTTTATATTGATTGACATTATATGAATATTAATCTTATTAAAATTTCGCTGTTAATATTTTATGAGAAAATTACCAGAAATTTGAATTTTGAAATAATATTTGACTTTAAAACAAATGATTTCCAAATGATAGGAACTCGAAGGATTCAATCTACTATAAAACGATATGTTTTGAAACTAAGCATTTAACCAAAGATAATATAAGAAGTTTTAGGTCAAAAATATTTGGACTTTTAAGCAAATTAATGTTTCATGTCATATTCAGAATCGGATGTACGAGTAAATATCCTATTTAAGGTCCCACGACGGATTTTAATTCAATAACACATATTTAAGCGATTTATTGACAATGAACAGTCGATACTTATACTTGTAGCTCAATTATTAGCATTAAGTTGAAATTCTAAATTCGTCCTTTTATAGGGCGAAATGTGGCCTAATTTAATTAATGCCGGATTTATTAAAATATAATAAATTATATCATGACAGCTTTAAATTTAAGATATTTACATAGTACAATATCTGGCTAATATTTGAGATGTAAAAAGGTGAACATTGAGGGACGGACAAGGATTCATCATATTAACATATAATGCCTTTCTACTTCTGTTATGGATTGTTTAAAAAAATAAATGTAGTTAAGAAATTGCCATCATTTAGCAAAAAAAAATATTTTAGTACTTTGAGATCCAAAAAAGTACCCTCTGAAATATTTTTTGATACTGACACAAAATCTCATTTTGCATCCCTGGCCGGTGGTTTACATAAAGTTCCTATAAATTGTTTGATTGTTAATTTCAATCATGTTAAATGAATTCATTATGTTAAATATCGCCGTAAAGATAGTTTAATAAAATGTGGCTAAACACAATATAATTCTTATTTGCCTCCATGTAACTGCTCAGCGTGAATTTTTACAAGAAGAATGGAGGATGTATAGTAAGAAAGGAGGAAAAACATTTTTATTTCTTTAACGCTGTGTCTGACGTGGAAATAGATAGGGATAAAGGTACATTCATACATACTTATGTATGTATGTATGTATGTATTTCTGGTAAGACAGATTGTGTGTACATATGTATGTATTTAACTGAAAGGATGAAGTTGAGGATTTTTGAGATGATGGAAATGATGTTGGACTTAGAGATGGCAAAAGAGTCTGTTTAGAGTTAACAAAACGAAAATGAAGATGCGGCAACCTGTTGCCTTATTTGTGTTCACAGTTGTATGTATGTAGTTTATGGTTTATTTTGGTTTGAACTTGGTCATTACATTGAATTAGTTGTATGATAGTGTGTATCGGCTGCATTCGTGGTGTGTCTTTGGTTGCAGTATGTAGATATGGGCCTTACATTTGGCATAAAATAAATTTATTGTTTATTATTGATATTCTGTCTGGTCTGTTATAAATTCGCAAACGAATATGTATCTGCTTTCAAATACTGGATGGGATGTAGTGGTTAACTTTGAGGATGCGAATGAAGATGATGACGATGATTTTTAGATGTTATCAAAAGGCGTATATTGGTGTATTTTGTTTGTTTGCTTGTACCTTACAGTTGTTGTAATATTACCAATTGGAGTTTCTTATACCGAAGTATTTATTAAACATAACATTAGTGTAAAGTGTAGAAGATACTTTACGTACTATGCGTTGTGTATACACATGTAGATGATGTTCGATTAATGTTATTTTGATGTGTAAAGAAAAGGATCTTCAGTTTGTTATTGGCTTTATTTACATCCAATGGACCTGTGCTACCCAGGTGGTCTAACTACGCATGCCTTTATCACGGTGAGTAGCAACAGATAGAAGTTAAAAAATTATAATGGATATTGAAAAGAAGTATTCAAGTGTCAGAACTAATATAAACTATAAACAATATGAGACAATCACAATTTCGCTTTATTTTCTCAGCAAGAATCGAAACGAAAACCAAAATAATTAACAAATAATTTTATATTATTTTGTTATCGACAAAAAGAAACAACAACGACTACAACAACGACAGCAGCAACCGCTTTAAAAAAGTCTACAGCCAATACTTGCAGCAACAACAAGAGGTTGCCGTGAAAATTCTTTAAATTCAAAGAGAGGACATTGACTCGATAGAATTTCTAGCAATAGAACAGTGAATTGTTGCTGGCTGTGCATGTTTGTATGAATAGTTATGTATATGTATTTGTTGTACTACTTGAAAATGTTTGTTGTTTCTGTTGCTGTTGTTTTATTTGTACATTTATTTAGCAACAAATAAAACAACACACCACAGCCTTTTCGAGACTCGAAAGTAAACGAGTTTAACAAAAACAAATAGCAAAAACAACTACAACAATAATGCAAACTAAATGCTGTCTTTCGACTGTTGATGTTTGTAAGTTGTAATTTGGTATGATGCAACCCATTTTGTAAACCTGGTTCAAACCTTCACTTCAAACCATGACTTAATGCCTAAACCAGTTTTTTTCTGTTTGACACTCTCTTCACTACCAACTACTCATATCGATGAGATTTTTACACTACACCTGTCCCTCAATATAGCACGAAAATAAATGTGATAATGAGTGTGTACTTTTTTAATGTAGGTATGCATTTTTTCGTAACTGCTCCTGAAAAAGAACAATTTTAAATGAGAATCTAACATCTTGATCCGGTAAACGTTAACAAAGTGAAGATATACAATATTTATGTATTTTAAAATTGTGCAACTAAGCTGTTTAACTGACACTGTATTAGATGACACAAATAACAATTGGGTGCTTTGAAAACAGTTTAGAAATCCAGGTCGGGGAACCTACAACGCAAGAATCTTCTTTTGAACTAATTATTAGTCTATTTTTATATAATTTTTTTTTAAGTGTATGAAAATTTGAAGAATTCCTCCCTCCTTTTTAGGAGTCTTTCACTTCCTGTAGTGTTCTAGGACAGAAATTTTATTTTAAAATTCAAATTGCTCTTGCCTCATCTTTCACTGTAAGGGACTTTGAATCTTTTGGTTTTCAATCTAATATGGATCGTTAAATCACCATTTAATTTTAGATCCAAAAATATTTAATATATAATATCATCAAATCGGAATGTTTCTACAAATAATTTAATGTTAAGAGAGGTATTGGTGTTAAATGTTCGGCTTGATTTAAGAAAGAGTATGTTTTTGTTGTGACGTGTTGTGTAGACAACAACTTCTTTCTGGTCGATTGGTTGTCAGTATCATTACGACCTTTCTGCGGTACCGGTGTTGGGATCGGTAATCAAACAAATATCGTTTATAAAGTTTTGAATACAATAATATTCTCTTGTTAAGTGAGAGTGCAAAAATAAAAACAAAAAATATTTGAAACTAGAAATAAGGATAAAAATATATATATTTTTTATGAGAATATTAAACTTATCTATGTATTTTAAGTGCCATTCAAATAAGATTTAAAAATGTAAAAATATGTATGTATATCTAAAAAAAAATATTAGTCTAATCGCGATCCAATAAGAATTGAAAGTATATATATAAATTAAATATGTAACTAGTGATAATTTAATAGTTTTATAACATGTTTACAAAAACAGTTATTATAATTATAATTGTAAAAATAAATTTATAATGGTATATTGGATTATAAAAAGAAATCGTGCAATCTCGCCTGAAATTAGACTAAGTAATTTGTTAAATCATCCACAAATATTTTAAATTTCTTTTATAGAAATAAAAAAACAAATGAATTAAAAAAATCGAAAACAAAACATATTATGAAAATAACATAAAAAATATCGCACTAAACCTCGACAACTATAGAATGAATAAATAACAAAACAAATGCTAAACGTGTGATACTTTGTTTATTTACTTTTATTTTATTTTTTTGTAAAATCATGAATATTATTGTGTTTTATAAAGTGAAACCACTTGCTGCATGTGCAAATAAATAAAAGAAACGAAAAAAAAAACAACAAAAGAAATGAAATTTGAATTGATTAAATGCAAAAGAGAAAAAATAATTAATGAAATCCCAGCACTTTGTAAATTTCTTGTTATTTGATATCCCTCATAATATCTCACCAAAAAAAAAAAAGAAAAAACAAACACAAAAAAATTAAACTATAATTAAACATTAAAAGAAAATAATATCATGAATTGAAAATTGTGAGAATATCGGGCTTAATAATTTTAAATAAACAAAATTTTTAATCTCAATTCCATATTGATCATTTAAAAGAAACAAATAAGACAATTTCATCAGCACATAACAAATAGAATCCTAAGACACCGATCAATCAGATCATATTGGATTAACTTCCTTTGATATTCAGAAAAAGGTATGATTATTATTTGCTCTCCTCTCCCAGGAAAATTAATGTCTCAAAATGTAACTAGATTTGTTTAATGATGCCTTTGAAAATAATGGCCGTTCGTGAGCGTAACAAAATTCAAAAAGGTTATTTTTAGTTATTTTATTCAATTTTAGTTTAATTTCATGAACTGAACTGACATCTAAAGATTCATATGTAAATTTGTATAAATTTTAAAATATGTACATATTTTTGAATATTTTGTTTAATACCGGTACATACTGCTCGCGAACTACCATCACTTGACTTAATATATTTTGGGTATTATGTAAAAACATTTAGTCTCAATTTAATTGTTGTATATTTTAGAATTAGAAGGACTACAGGAACTCCATACGTTTTGATTTGCGTCAAATCGTATGGTGTTCGGTAAAAGTTTTATCTAATTTCTACCAAAACATTTGGATATTCTTTAGGTGAATCATCATTTGTTTAGTTCTCAAATCATATACATATAAATATTCTCAAACCATTCATATGTATAAATATCAAATAAAATATCAAATAAATTTAATTTTTTTTTCATTATTTCCAATATAAAATAATAAATTCCTGCAGTTAGCAATATCATTATGTTAATTTTCCGAGAAAATGTGGCTAAGAGTGGTATTAAATAGCTAAGTTATTTACTCTCAGATGTATCCAAACCTTACGTCTGAAAGTTTTTCACAAAGGTACGAGCAAAAACAACGACTTTTATACTGTGTGTAGTTGAAAAGTTCTTTTTAATGTTTTCGTTCTTTTTTATACAAAGCAAAATTTTTTTTATACAAATTAAAAAGACGAATTTTTAGTTTGTCACAGCATTTATATTTTTAGAAATTTCAACTTTAACCACTTACAGCTTTTAATTTTAAATACATATTTTTCGTACATCGAATTCGCGAAATTTATAAATCAAAGTGTTTTTAAATTAATTCTGTACCAATTATTACTGGTCTGCAATGAAATCCTACTTCAATATCTACATCTGGTATTAATTTCATTCTATCACGTCGAGTTTCTGAAATAAAAAAATTTTGTTTCAGCGACCTCACTCCAAAATATTTTTTCTAAAATATATTTTTTTAATACCATTATCATATTTATAACATTAAAGGCTATGTACCTGCTAAAATTTAAAACTAAGTGTGTTTCCATCTGGAAGTTATAAGCACTCAAAGTTGAAAATTTTCAAAAAATTAAGATGAAAAATTCCTAAACTTTTGCTTAATCTTAAAAAAATAATTCTTAATCTTAATAAAATAATTCTTAAAAAAATCCAAAAGAATATATATTTTCTCTTAATAAAAAAAAATAATTATCAGGAACAGCATCGCGGCTCAAGTTCAGATTATGTATTTAAAATGGATATCGAGTAAAAATTCGACGTGCTAAAAATATTTTAAAACCACATCTTGATTCAAGAGCACTTAAGCTATCATAACCATGCACTAAAATATAAAGGAGTGAAAAAAAAATATTTTTGCAGATATGAAATTAAATAGCACTTCATTTCATTAAAAAAATAAATATTTCTCATTTTAATGTATACGTTCATATATGTTTACCATATAACGGTAAATAAATTAAAAAATAATTATTATTTTTTATTTCTTTACGTTTTTCAAAAGGAGTTAATGGTTTTTGCAATTGAGGCATCTATACGTAAGTCAGGTTCATCGATATGAACATTTTTTGGGACTTGACAATATACATTAAATAATACACAAAAAACAAAACCTAACTAATGTCATTTATGAACGGCAGTATACATTATAAATGTTTTATAGATTTTATGGCATTAAAACTCAACTAATATTCATTTTTTAAACCAAGTTTTGTAGTTTGACGCCAAAAATATATGTATTTACGAACATACATACATACTACTCTTAAAAATTCTTTAACGATCACAATAAGTACATGATCGTACAAATACAACAGAGTATGTATTTATGAGTATACGATAAAATATATTACTAATAAAATACGATACAATATGGTGAATAATAGTTTTTTTTGTATGAGCAATAAATTACTCACGTAACGCGATTAAAAACATAAATGCGAATAAAAGTCGACCTCATTGTTGAGCTTTCAAAAACATTAACAGCAACTGAAATAGCTGCAAAAAAGCTAAAACAACAACGATTTTTGCGAATGGCAAATTGTGGTTTTAAACATAAAACATCTGTCGTACGTTCGCTTTGCGAGAATTTGATCAATCGATGTTGGATGACGACAACTACAGCGATTCCAACTAAGCAATACTTAATAGCTACGAGGTAGAAGTTTTATTCTTTATATGTATTTACGTATTTGTGTGTGTGTGTGTATGTATATTTACGGTAACGACCAGATAAATAAATATTTTTGTATAAATATGCTTTTAAAAACAACAACCACAGACAAACAAGCAATCAAAATATGTATAAGAAATACGCAAAATCTGAACGGCCTTGTCTGACCCACTTTAAACGTACTTTGCACAAAAATGTTAAGACTCTTAAAAAACGTTGACTTGAAACACAGAAGCTCAGATACTACAGACATGTGAAGAATGAAGAGAGGGTATTGGGTAACGATTGTATGTTAGAAATATTAAAAATAATAAAAATTCAACTATGTAGATATTGTTTGGAACAGCCAGCCAGCCAAGCCACCTACTTGAATAATTGTAAATTGTCATTTTTTCGTCTAAGTGAATGAGCAAGCGAACAAACGATCGAGTGAGTGTATTTATGTGAATGTCTTTTTTTTATTTATTTTTAAATATTTCTATATTGATAATCAAAACTATTTATGTATGCCACAATCTGGTGTGACAACTTTTCATTAAATATTTTTATGAAAATATAAAACGCACCACACAATTTTGTCGACAGCAAATAAATGCGATACAAACGAAAAGTGAATAAATTGTTAAACAAATTCCTTTCAAAATATGTACTACGATAATACTTTTGTGACTTTTACTAAACCAACTCTTGCTTAACTCGTGTGTTTAAATACTCAACACTTAATTGCCACAAAATATTTACTTTAATGATTTCAATTCCTCGATCCTCTACTTTCATAATGCTTTTTTTCTTTCTTTGTTGCTTCACGTACAGATATTTACAAAAAATATTTTGTAATTTACTAGGTATTAAGAACACCCAATGAATCCAAACATATGTACATATATAAATTCTGTTGAGAAGGGTACTAAAATGAAAATCAAATCGAAATGTTAGATAAAAATCTTTTTCTCATGCACACTTTAAAAATAAATGTTCTTTTCTTAAGTCTTTTGTTTACTTATTAACAAACAACATGTCAGTGTGAGTGCACGCATGCACGCACTTCATTTCATTTGATCGCTACTAAAATTCTAAACTTTCTCTCCCTCTATCTCACTATAAATACTTTTTTAGTTTACATTTCATTATCATCTAATGACGCTTAATTGGGTAGATGGAAATTAATAAAAGATGGAAAAAGGTCTATTCTCTCCTCTCAAATGTCAATAATAATAACGAAAATACTTCTACAAACACACTAGAAAAGTGTTGAAGAGAATAAAAAGTATTTAAAGCTTAAAAAAACTGAGAAACTCCTACGTTTCCCTGTTTTGCTAAATAATTAACAATTGCTTAGCCCGAAGACATGAACAGAATAGTATGCTTTTATTAGCAAGTTCAACTATAAAAGTACATATGTACTAAAAATAACGTTGTTCAACATTCGCATATAGAATTAATGTTTATTTTCTTGTTAAATTTTTATTACCTTAAATTTGAAGAAAATTTCTAATGTTATTTTATATTATATTGCAAATTATGCATTTACAGCCAGTAGAATGTAAGAAAATAAATAAAAAATTTACTTTATACATAAATATGTTCGTAACTAAAATTTTACAGTTATTTTCGCAAACTCTTATTTATTAAATTTAATTAAGATTTTTAAATAAAATCTATTTCAAAAGCCTTTATCGTTTTTAAATAAATTTGAAAATTAAGAATGGTATTAGAAGAAGATCTAAAACAAGTTTGAAATAAAATCACACAGAAGTTTTTTGACAAATTGGATCCAAAGTTTTTCATGAATTAAATTTAGCTTTAATTTCAAATGAAAAACTTATTTCTAAAGTGAGAATTTTCCAGTTTTAAATGAAATTGCTGTTTTCTTCTTAATTTTAGAAATTACAAAAGTGAAGATTACCACCTTTGCTTCTAATTGCAGTTTTAAAAAATCTCAACATTTGTAAATCAACTAAAATATTGATCCTTTGATGAATTAAAATATTAGTTATTACAAATTTGTATTTAGATGTTAATGGCTTGTAATTATTTTAAAATATGTTTGTGTGTAAGAAATTTCAGTAAAATGCAATTAAAGTTTCATGATTTTTAAAAATGTTAATTAATTTGTATTTGTAGTGTTCATAAATATATTATGAGTTATAATAATATTTTATGTAATTGAGTGCATTTAATATAATTATTTTGCTGTACAATGTTTTAATATAGATACTTATGTATGTACATTAGAAAAAAATGCAAGTTGCTGATGTTCCCACCGAAAATGAAAATTTAGTTCATTCTAAGATACCATTTCTCAAAATGTTTGTCCTGGCGTCAATATTTGGTGACCTGGATCTTAGTATAAGATTTTTCTGATTTTTATCATATTTCTTGCAAATAAACCATATGCAAATTTGGTTGCATATAAAAGGTCTTTGGGAGACGATTTCAATGACAATTCCAATACAATTTTGTATACAACTCTAAAATTATTACAAATGTCGTATTTTTTCGGAAAATTTAAAAAATTTTCAAATTTTAACATAGATTTATTTAATGTAATTAATTGAAATTATTTCATTATAAACCTCATATAATTTCACCGAAATGTTTTTTTCCTGTTTTTCGAAATTCGATATTTCTCTTCAGTATTGTGCTAGCTATATTTATCATAATATACATAATATGTACAATTTC